ATTGTGCGATGCTGCTATCGCAATGCAAAACGATTGGTGTATAAGATCAACTTCTATGTCAGGTCAATTAGCAAGTCCTGCTCTGTAAACCCGAAATTTTTGAGAGGTCAACACAGGGAGCGCTCCGGTGGTTCGTGATGGGGGAAGGCCTTTTCAAGATCGCGTTTAATGAACTGGAACCGCATGTGTAACTAAGTATTCTAAAGGAGGCGCAGTACAGCAGAATAATCTAATGCATGACTCACCAGTAACTTCTCGTTGAATCCACTGACGTGGACAGTCAAGCAACCCCTCGAGGCAGAGATTGAAAAGCTGAAATAGGAAGGTAGAGAAGATGGGTAAGTCAGTCCGCATAAGCGCAAGCAGCAGCAATTCCCACCTCGATTAGGACAATCTCTGCGGTGAGGTGAAAGAACTGATCAGTCTGGGCCTTAAGCTTGAAAGCAAGGCAGACTATGACCTCCAGCAAGCTTTCGATGAGTGCGACTAGGCGCGACTGGAAATAAAAGAGATGCCGTGGAGTAGCAACTTTTTACTAGCCTCTACGGGAAAAAGCGCTCTAAAATTCGCATTGAGAAGGACCAGTACAATCGATTGTTTCGCCTGTCCATTTAGTATGCTCAGGGCGACAGGAAATCCAGGATGACGACCCTCCCCGACTTTGATAACTTATTTGCCAAAGGTTGTGGATAATGAGACTGCATTCGGCTGCAAACTATGCAAATTCTCGGCTGTGACAAGCCGGCTTATTCTCGTCAGTAATGCCTGCCTTTGCCTTTACTTCTGAAAAGGTTCCACACTTTACAGTACTAAGTGAAAAAGATTCACTTTCTGAGAATGCAACCAGAGATCAGATTCTAAATGTGTGCTTGTAGCAGTCAAGAGTAAATAACTTGGGATGTGCATGGAACACTTATGAATGAAGATAAGCACGGCTGTTTTGACTAGGATTATCAAGGATAGTTTGGTAGGGTTTCAAGAAAAAGTCACATTTTGGCAGTTCCTGCCAATGTTCTGTTCAACCAATACTGCGAATATTTGCCTCATCACGGATACGCCTGACAACTGTTCTCGTCCACATGTCCGGGTGGAGCCTCGATTACTAAATGCAACTTTCATGCGGCCGGAAATGTCAGTCCCGTCACAAACAAATCCCACTGGACAAATGCCATTACGGACGGAAAGGATTAAGGTAAATTCTACTTGAGCTCGTCCAAAAGGTAGGATAAAATGAAGCACAGTGAAAAATAAAGCATATCATTTTTTGATGCTCAAAAACATCGAAAATACGGAAGTCACAGTGAGAAAACATTCGCATTAGGATAAGCACAAGCTGAAGACTTTATTAATTTTGACTTAGAAGTCTGTCATACTAATTACCAGATAAATGCCATGAGTTTTGTAAAATTCGACACTAGCATGCTAACATTAAATTCTGGCTGTGATTTTCGTACTTCAGGCAGGTGTAGTATCACAAAATACTTGCTACTTATTTTGTTTAAGTACAACATCACATCGTGTCAATGTAAAAAGGGCGTACCTAAGGTTGGCTTCGGTTGCGGCGTAGGCCAAGGTCTGCAGTCTTTGGTCCAGAATAGCTGCCAGCAGTTTCAATAGAACTTTGCTGAAAATCAATATGACAGAACACAGACTCAAATAAGAAAGCGGATGTAGGATAGACGCAGACTTTATAGTCGGCAAGAACAAGCAAGTTTCGTAAAGAATACTTAGTGACTCTACAAAGCGACTTACTTTTTCGGACAGCGAGGA